TCCCTCGTCGCCCGCTACTGTGCACATGTCTTTCCGACGGGCTCCTCCTCTAGCCTGGAACCACCACATGACTCTCTGCACTCCTCGCTCTGACTGGGGAGAGGGTGAAAGTAGCCCCGAACCAGAGAGAGCGATGGAGAAGGAGCCTGATAAATGATCACATGCTCGGGGAGATCTCCTCTCGGCAGATCCGGTGATTAAGTTCGACTTGGAGGAAATCCACTGAAGCCTCACAGAGAAAGAGACGTTAAGAATTGTTTACTTTTATTTGTTACAGATGAATATAGGCTCACGCTTCAGGCAAAAAGTCAAGAATAACCGTAACATGGATGCTGCCATGTTAAGGGTGTACATTAAAAAGGGTGACACATTAACCCTCCATCCGTTTGATTTCAGTTTTGGACACACCAAACTTGTGATTATCAAAGAAAATGGGGCCAATGTTTGCTCTCTCGCCTGTATTTGCTTCCACGTCTGTTACAGTCAAACTTTCACCTCAACTAATATCAATAAGATTCACAGCGCTGATTACATTCTTCTGCTATTGGTTCTGCAGGTCTCGACAATTTGTTTTACCCTGGAAGACGTGGAGAGGCTTCAAAACCTAAAAGAAGGGCCCGACAAAGCTAGGAAGCGTTGGGACTGGATAGAGGGAGGACGAGGGTTAGAGGGTGGAAGGGGCAGAGAGGGAGGAGAGTATGGTCCTCAGGGCTCTTTTCCACAGAGGCGTGTGACACTGGGCCTTTGAATAAATGCAGTGTGTGCTGCAGTGCCCTACAGAGGAACTGATAACACGGAAAGAGACCAGGAGGGAATTTGCTTTAACACAAGCTTTTTTAACTCTTTCCTGTGCTCTTCCCAGTCCACTCCACTCCATCACCAGATGCTGATTCTCTGGTGGCTCTGCCGCTTGGACAAATGCTTACTTCAGCCTAATGTTGATCAAGTGTGTGATGTCATATTTCACTTGAATCATATAGGACAGGCTGACACAGGGAACAAAATGGCCTGAATCTGATTTGCAAAACAAAAGTTGTGGAGCAAATGGTTTGCATCTCCCGTCGCGAGGGGACACTCAAATTCCTTTGGGTAAAGTTTTGAAGAGACCTTTGGTCTTAGAGCAAAATGTACAGCCACTAATCTCAAATCCCTCCATACGCAGCCAGACATATAAACAGCTAGCTGCTCAGTAAACCATCAACACCGCATGTGTTGGATCTGAAAGGAATATCTGTTTAGATAATGGTCACCCAGAACAGAGAGAGATCTGACTTGCATGAGTTACCTCAGTCATAAAAAGCTTACAGAGAATGTAGCTATATCAAAGCCAATGAGAGAGAGACTGTTTTGACACTGTTCATCTTTCATAACATGGTACCAAGAAATGGAGCAGCCCTACAGTACATGCCACCCTTTGCCCCACATTGCTGATCTTCAGGTAATACATTTGAGGAAAGAACAAACTTCCTGAACTGAAGCTGTTCATCATAAAGGAATCACCAAGAAGCTAACGACGAGGCAGTGCTATAGACGTGTAGCCCCTGTACGGCTGTAGTGAGGAACACAAGCAGCAAAAGCAGGTCACGTTCAATAGATATAGAAATTGGACGGCAAACTGTCATCAGAGTTTACAGGCCAACATTGAATAAAGGTACAAACTCACTGACAGTTGCTGGTGTGCACACATTTAGCCATGGTGTACATTTTACACCATTCATTGGTGCAGTTATTCTGAATCGTAACACAAAAATAGATCAGTATTTTGTGGGTCTTGCTGAACATAATATGAAGTTCACCTTCCACAACATACTGTAATTCTTATCTTGATTAATAAGCCCTTAAAAACAACTTGTGTGGGCTTAATCCTTGTATTTTTGATGAGTGTATATACCATGAACAGGTCTAAAATGTTAACTCAATAGTTAGTGCTTGTTTTAGCATTAAAAGGAAAGGCTTACAGTACATGTAGGCTTTAACATGTCCGACGGAGGGAAAGCTACATTGTGTGAAAACAGGGGCTCATTTGAATTTGCTCCACTTCAGTCGACAGGCACCGTCGGGTGGCTAGCATAGCTACCACAGTGACATTTGTTTCCATTTGCATAGACAACCGTTTGTGTTGGTGCTTTATTTTTCCATAGGCCCACTGTTATCCCAAGTTACTGAAGGGAAATATTTTACAAAAAGAAAAGGATGCTTTGATGAGAGTGCAGGCAAGCAAAGCTAAGCCATGCGGTTTACATAAGAAGTCAAAGGGGAAATGGTTGTCTTAAAAAACATACAAGTCATAAAGAAAAATGCAAAGGAAAATCTACTCCGTAAAAAACGTTTGGAAATGTAGCTAACACTTCCAGGCCTATTTTGTTGTATGGAGGCATTCATATTAATGATCTATCTTGTCATGTGACTCTATAGTCCATGTGAGTACACCAACAAACTATAATCATACAGGAAGAAATCCAATACATGATCACATAGAAGAGACGCCATCTTCTCCACCTACAGCACCTTTAAAAGACTCATGACTCAGGGGCCAGCAGCTATAGTTCTGATGCTAGATCCTATTTGACTAGCCAGACACAGCCCGCTCCTAACTATGCTATCACATCAACTTATAATGCCCAATAAAGTTATATCATTTGATAAACAACTATATTTGTTCAATTGATACCACAAAAACATGTCAACAAATGATAAGTTTGAGTCAAGCCTTCATGAAAGAAGGAACTGAACATAGCAGACATTTGGGATTAACAATTAAAGGATTGTTTGAATGACCTAAAGTGTCAGAAGAATTTAAAATTCAGAGATTAGTTGGTTTCAGAAAACCTTCTTAAAAGAAAAAGTTTTTAACGAAAAGTTGCAGCCAATAAAAAGTTAGTCCAGGCAGTGACTCATCTCCATGGTCATACGCAGTCAAGCATTTTAGCAACACTTTGATATGGTCTAAGTAACGTATGTCATATGACGATTAGTTGCATAGTTGATGAGTCGATAGAGAGAAAAATATTTCAATAACCTATATAATTCTGAGTAACTTTTTAAGCAAAAACTTTTTGATTTGACACATTTGAATGTAACCACTTTGGCTTTGGGATCCTGTGATGAACATGTATCCCATTGGTCATGTATCTATCACTCTCACTCTCACCATCTAAATATATACAAAGCATGTCAATCAGGGAAATGTAGGAAGTCCGAGAATATTGTCCTCTTCTGTTTCCCATCCACGGCTATAACAATTACTACATCTTATTGCCATGTATTGAACATAGAGCTTATCAATGAGAAACGGTTTCCCGGTTAGATAAATGATCTTGGTTCACCATGACATCATCTCTCACAAAGTTTCCGGGTAAAACATACTTCCACATTTCACAGCGGCGCCAACAGGTGAAAGCCACAGGTTAGTGATTGGCCGTGTTCCCGCGCGGCTGTATTGGGTATCATGCCTGGTGGCACTAAGTGACAATGTAGTGGTGACACTGACGGCACAAGTGAAGCCCGAGACTGATGACAAGCACAGACACTCCAAACAGAGCCATGTTGTTCGTTTGGCCTGGCCCGGCCTGGGAACTCTCCCCATGGCCCGACCCTCACACAGCATCCACTGCTGCCCTGTTAACACTCTCACTGTGGGCCCTGTCAGGAAATGATCACCCAAATCCTTTTAATGGATATTCTGGTGATGTAAATAAAGTAGCTGAGAGGGAAACATTATGCAAAGAAGTAAGATAGCAATGCAAACACTAACCCACTTTAAAGACAAAGCAGTGAAGGGATGGTATGGATAAACCTGAATGTGACCTCGACTTTGAGGCCTAGTTATAAAAGTCATATTCCATATTGTGGCAAAAGTAATATGTATTCATCTGCAACAACTGCAAACTTTACTCAATATTGTCCCAAAGAAAATAATATAGGCTGCAGCAAATGTTATCGTCCCTATTCCTTAAAATCAAAATGTCTTAAAACCGAAGCTTCCATCTTGAAATGACTCGCTTTCAATAAAATGAATTGATAGATTTGAAAAATGTTGATACATTTCCATTTTCAAAACCCGAAAATATTTTGTTTACAATATCAGAAAACTAAAATATGCAACAAATCCGCAAACTGGAGAAGCTAGAAATCAGGATATTTGGCATACAGTTACTCAAAACGTTCCCAAAATAGTTGCTGATTATTGACTTATGGAAGAATAAACTAATAGTTTCAGATCTAAAAAGGACAATATTTTGTATTTTAAAAGAAAACAAATGTGTTTGCATTTGCTCTGGGATCATTGTCGACTCCAATACAGCCAACAGCAAAAGTTCAGATCAATACTCCAAAAAGAGACGAACCCAGTACTTGATTAATACATGATCACGTGTTAATAGTTCCCATAGAAGGCCAACCGTTTTAACAACAAATAAATACAAAGTCAGTCTTCAAATAGTGCATCGACAGCTCGGTCATTCCCGTTTTACACAGCTGTTGTCAAACAAGTAACACTTTCAAAATTATGTAAAACATCACCTACATTTCCAGCACATGACCTGGCACTATCGAATGCCTGATCCCATACTGAAAAGAATCCCATGTGCTCTAACTCGCCTCCACATCCATACAGTACATCTGCTCCGGCTACAAAAGGCGATCAAACCTTTGACAAGCACTTAAATCAACTAACTGCTGATTCATACAAGTACGTTTTCATTTCCATTTAAAACCATATAACTCCCAGGAGAAAAAAACAATGCCCTCTGATTTGTTGATTTAAAAAAAAAAAAAAGAGCCCACAACATCATAAAAGGAATAAATTAAAGAATAGAGGCAACATTAGGTCTGTTATAGGAAAATTGCATCTGCCATCATTGAGCTCTATCAGCAAGATCTACATTGTTTGACGTAAAACAAAAACGCTCTGGTCACACATCATCCAACACCCACACAATTAGTAAAGACAAAATAAGCACATATGTACTACCACTCATATCCACATCTGCAAACAAACTTTATGAACGTCTTACCTGCGAGTAGTCAAAGTCGGAGAGGGGTGCTATGCTTTTGATGTATTCGATTCTGAATTGGTCCTCCGGGTTGGCTAGCGGGACAGGGGGTATTAAAGTGCTCATCGCAGACACTATAGTCTACAAAGCAGAAGTTATGGGAGGAAACAAACAAACAAAAAAGCATTAAGAGGGGTGAATACATGAAAAAAGGCCTGTATAATAATAATCAGTACAATGTGATTGCAGTTGATGTAACAACAGAGACGTTGACCCCATTCGGGAAGTGATACAGATCAAACTTACCACTATGGCATCCTTCACGTTTTTCCGAATATCTTGGATTTTCTGTTTCTTTTCTCTGCATGGGGAGAGAGTAGATGTGCAGGCCAGGAGTTACGAAAACATCAACCAAAGCAGACCACAAAAGATTAATCAAGCTAGTAATAAATAAGAATAGGGGTTGACTGTATTCTTATAACATGTATACATACATTACAGGTGTCCAAGCTTGGACTATGCACCAGGTAACAAGGAAATACACCATGGTGTTCAGTAAAATGCTAAAGTAAAGGAATATGAGGTGTTGTAGTTATGATTGTCTTCATTTTTTGTACCTTAAAAAAACGCTAGATAATGCCTCCTATCCTCTTAAAATCCAGCCTCCATGTTACATATACGGTGGGCTTTCATACAGTTACAGGACTCTTGACATGTACTAGGCCTGTTTAAAAAAGACCACTGGTAAGATCAATGCCATGCAAGGCCTTGCAGCAAAACAAATCATCAATAGGCCTGTGTCGATCACAACCTTTCACCCTCTCTTACATGAAACAGGAAACGGTGAATTATTTGGCATCTGTGTGACACCGAGATCATCACATATGTATGATAACTGTACATGTACACGAAAAAAAGGAGGAAAAGGCAGAGAGACAGAGAGAGGAGGGGGGAAAGATATTAGCTGCTTTGCATGGGATACTGGGCCCAACAGGCGCTGCAGTGCCTGGGGAAAATCCATTCACAGGCCTCCACAGTGTTATTCATTAGGAGGGAAGCCATAAGCATTAATATGTGTTTTTTAAGGCGTTAATGTCGCTATGTTATATTAAAAAAGAAAGCACTCACTCCGCGTTGAAGCCGTTGACGTGTAGAATCCTCATCTGCTTCACAATGGTGCTTTTTCCGGACTCTCCCGCACCTTTCGACCAAAGAAACACATGAAAATATCACCAACCACGAACAGGGGACATCCGGGTTATCGTTAAAACACATACATGTTTTTTGGAAATGAAGCCTTCCATCAATATCCACCCCCATGACATATTATTATTGCAAGCGCTGTCAAATGGGGCTACGTGTTCGGTAAACGAAAAGGGATTAGCTTTCAGATAGCCATCAACCTTACCCAGTAATAAGAGCCTGTGTGTGGCTTTATACGCTTGTCTTTCCTTTTGCAACTGTTTTTCTATCTTTTTATTCGCCTCTCGTTGTGCCTTTTCGTCGATGCGTTGATCTTCAGTCTTGCTGTTGCCCAAACAACCCATCTTCCGTCGCCCTAACCCCCTTCCTTGTGGAATCGTAAAAAAAAAATTATATATAAAAAAATATAAAATAACACCCGGGTTGATTCTGCGGTTTAAAAATAGCAATACTGTAAAATAAAAAAAGGAAAAAAAAAATCTCTGCGAGTCGTCTCCGTCGTAAGGGGAGAGGAATATGTTCCCCCGTTACAATTCCGCTTTTAGCCGCAGCCAACCGTCATCCAAACCGTGTGTCAGTGTACAAACCGACGGACATTAATGGCTCGGTTTTTACAAAGAAATATCAAAAATACATATAAATAAAGAAGAGAGAGGGTTTCTCAATTTCTGGGAATCCAGTCAACTGTTCCTATCGCGTCTCTCCAACCCCTCTCTTCTCTCAGTGTTTTTTTTCTATCTGAATTTCTATCTGTCTCTTTAACTCAGCACTGCCTCTCTCTGTGGCTCCAGGAAGTAGCCGTGGACCGTGGTGGTGGTGGAGGTGGAAAACAAACTAACAGCGTTAAACTGTAACATTAACAACCCGTACTGATATAGCATTTTATAACTTGTGTGAAAAAAGGGAGAGGAGCCATTCCCGATTTAGTCCGTCGCTATTCTGCTATCAAACTAAACGGCAAAGGGGGTGGAGGTGGAAACCCGGACGCCTCTGTCTGTGTGCTGGTTTAACAGAGGGGCTGGGTCTCTTCTTCTTCTGCTTGTTGGCTTCCAGTCAGTGAGGTGGCCCTGACCCAAACTGGCAACCCATTTACAGTGTGTGTTTGCACTGGGCTTTACCTATCTGTAGTTTACACATTACAGGCCTGGGGGCCATCATTGTAGTCCTTGAGAGAATGAGGACTACTCGTACGTGTTTGAGGAAGTACTCGGATCATTTACTTAAAGTGAAACAACTTCAATGTGCAATAACGTAGATACAACTAAAACAAAACAAACAAAACCTTCTGTTGTGTAAAGTAACTAAGTACATTTACTCAAGTACTGTACACTTTTCAGGGACTTGTGTTTACTTGTAATTAAGTACATTTACAACTTTACTTACTGAAGTGAAAATTTAAATGTTCTTTCTCTTTATACATTACAGGCCTGGGGGCCATCATTGTGGTCAGTGAGAGAATGAGGACTACTCGTACGTATTTGATGGAAGTACTGGGATCATTTACTTAAAGTGAAATAACACCAATGTGGCATAATGTAGATAAAACTGTTGGGCACAGTGGTGTGAAGTAACTAAGTGCATTTAATCAAGTACTGTACTTAGGTACAATTTTTAGGGATTTTTTCCCTACTTTGTACTTCTACCTCACTACAATTCACAAACCCACAAATGTATATTTACACCCTTCATTTATGTAGTAACTTTGCAGATATAGATGAATGATAAACAATAAGATCAACAATTAAATAAGATGGATTAAACTCACTAGCTACCCTGCAGTATAAAAAGTCATTTAAACTAGCTGCACCTTTAGCAGCTTTAATAAACACATCAATACATCAATAATAATAAAACATATGATATATATATATGATTGTGAAATGGGCCAATCAGCATAATGAGTACTTTTACTTTTTGTACTTGAAGTATATTTTGATGCTAATACTTTTTTTAACTTTTATTTCATTCTGCAATTCAGGTGTGATATTACAGAAGTAGGCAACAAAATAAACGTATTCTATTAAAATGAAATGTATTTGTTATGCAGAAAAGGGTCATTTTAAAATAATAAATATTACAGGCATGTCAATGTTGCAGCTGGTAAAGGTAGAAATAGTTTTAAATACTTGATACTCTGCCGGTAGCTTAATCTATAATAATTCAACATAATTTACTAGCTGATTTGTATTAAGGGGCAGTAACAATCTGAATCTGCAAAGTTAATTGTGTTGTCGAATAAATAGTGGGGTAAAAATTACAGTGTTGGAGTAAAAGTACAAAGGAGCATAAAATAGACTCAAAACTAAAGTAAAGTATCTCAAATTGAGCTTAAGCGAAGTACTTAGTTTCATTACATGGCTGTGAATACCACCATTTATAAATACTAAATATAAATACAATTTAATTAACATTTTGATGTGTGATAGATTGACCTACCCTGCAGCAGGAGTGGAAGAACTATAGGTAGTATTAAGAAAGTAAAAGTAAGTATGCTCTGGGGTACACATACTTACTTTTATCCTTTTGCTTTTAAAGCATGATATTTATATTCAAATGATTGTTTTCACTTTGTTGTATTGCTTAATAGTGAAAGTAAAACTGCAGTAAAGGATCTGAGTACTTCTTCTCTTTCTGCAGGAAAGACACTGAAATAACCAAACTTATCTTAATGTGGGACTTTCTATTTTAGGCTGCTTCAACAACCATTAAAGCATCCCTTACCTGGCAGAGTTGGCATGTAGACATATATGTATTAAAGTACTAGATTATGCATCATGCAAACCCTTTACAAAAATGAATTCAATCTTTCATCTGCTTATGTACCCTTGAGCAAGATGCAGAGACCCTGCAACACTGTACTGGCATGAAACGAGTATTCCCCAAAATCATACAAAATACCAAGGCTGTGTAGTATGGCGTCTTATTTAAGAGTGTTCTGATACTATAGGAAATAAAATGTGCATTATGTTTGAGTATGCCTTCATAAAGTCATAATATATCACTATTAACTAAAGACTAGAGCAGCAAGTCAGCTAAGAGATTATTTGTAATTTTTCTATCAAAAATTGCCAAAAATATGCTGTTTTTATAGCCTTTTAATAATATGGACATATTTTTGATTCAACTGAATATCTTTGTATTTTTGGCTGATAAAACAATACATTATGAAAAACTTAGTTGCCGCTCTACTAAAAACAACCACAGGACAAATGATTTGTCATAGAGGCCCTTAATTTAGGAGTTAGTCAATTATCTTACTTTATTTGTCATGTTTTTATTTCAAGAGTTTATGCACCAGAACCACTACACTCCAGTAGTGCAAGTCATGCTTCAGCCGATAAGGAGAAAACTGTCACTGTTGTGAGTTTTGTCTGACATTTATGTTTAGCTTGCTGTGGCTTTGCTCGAAACTAGGCCAGTATGGGGTGTGGGTTTGTACAGGTTTGTCTTTACAGTAACCAACATTGCACTTTAGTTGCACACTACCATTGTGTGCTATTGAAGGAAGCAGTAACTGATATATTGTCATTATCCATGTCTCTGTCAGTATGTGTGGGACAGAGAATTAAGCCTTTTTCATTCAAGAGCAACTTGTATAGTTAGTAGGCCTGCCTTAGCAATAAAGCTAATGCTAGGCTAACATACAACACAACACTTTGTATTGAGGTCAGAAACAAAGTTATATATGTTCTGTACTGTATGCTCTGAAAAACACCCATAGATCACCTTAGAAGCATGAGGCGAACGTGAATGATTATGTGTGTAACATAACAAGGAGTGTGCTGTTATTGTCTCCATTATGCAAACACAAAGCAAATACTAGTTTAATGTAGTGAAATGAGTGCAACAAAGTTGTGTGGCATGCAAATAACAACTGGAACCCTCACTTCACCTTTAGTAGTGTGAAAATATTAAAACCACCAACCCCTCCACACCCACATTATAAAAGAAACCCAGTCTCCCTGCCTCCGAAAGCAAGGTCAAAACAAGAAACTGGCCCACATCACTCTCTAGTGGTGAGAGGCAGAACCACACACAGCGCCCTGTGAATTAAACAGAATCAGGTTTTGTTGCATAAGTTGTCAACTTTTTAGGAAGAAGTATCTTTTTTTAATGTTTAGCTTGCTGTGGCTTCCTCTTAACTAGACTTTTAAAAAAGGGTGTGTTTGTTTTAAAGATTGGTTGATGTTAATCTGATTTGAAATGAGTCTGCTAAAGAGGAGAAAGGTAACTCTTTGCCAACAATCTGAGTTTAAGATGTGTATGTTTGAGCTAGATTTTATGACAGTACATCCAATTTGGAGGACATTCATGGTTCAGTTTGCAACCTACATAAGTGAGGTGTGGGAACTTGGAGCATCGTGTTTAAATATGCTCAATGGTGGAAGGAGTACTTAGGTAAAATAATAAATAATAATACAAAATATATGACATTACTCGCATAAAATAACTTTAATGGTGCAGCTGGTAAAGGATTCAAAAGCGTATTTTGACTTCTGTATTGACCTAATAATTATACACTTCTTAATAAAAAATCAAAATGCATCACTTAACAAAAACAAAAAGCCTAAAGTTGCATACAATGACAACAATCAAGTAAAGACCAAGTATCTCAAGTGTTACATTCATACACTGCAGAAACTGATATTTAACTGTTAACAGAAATGTGCATAGAGATAATATTGTATTCTTCAATGAGAAAGAAGGAGTATGTGTTTTTATACACATTTTTAACAAGGTCCATTTATTTTTTGGGGGTAAAATCACATCAAATAGAAAATATTATTTAAATCAGATTATTTGTATGTCTTCCAACTTGTCTAGAGAGCTTTAAACTATCATCACAACTTGTGTAAGTAATATTGGAAGTTATCTCTCATGATTAATGTCTCTGTCAGTATGTGTGCATGTGTGCAGTGTTGGAAAGTGTTTAAAGTAAACACAGCGATACTAAGACCTAAAAATACTCTATTGCAAGTAAACTCTGTTTTCAAGATG